ATACCTAATTAATCCTTTTGTCAGTGGGAAGATAGGTCCTGACATCAAAAAGGTGTCCTGGTCCTTCGCGCCATCGATGAAAGAATTCAGTCAAGACACTTAAACTGCCATACAGAAGAACAGGCATAGTTTATTGTAAAGCAGTTATAGAGCGATTTACACCTTCTGAAAAGGCAGGCACTGTCATGTGGGCACCTGAACACCAATAAGAAAAAGGCCATTATATTCCAGTTAAGAGTGTAGGTATTTTGTATGGAATATGTCCACATGGATCTGTACGTAACTTCTACACGTACAGTACCTGAAATAAAAGTTTTTGGTTCTGGGGGCACAGTGAGCTTCATGGAATCTAATATAATGTCTCCAAACACTTAAGGGATCAGTTGCAGATAACATTCCCTAGAATTATGAAAACAGCCTCTTTAGATACTTCCTCCTCGCCAGTTGGGTGAATTTGCCTTTTCTCAGTTCCATCCTTGGTTCTTCATAAACTAAATTCACAGCGAAGACGGCGGGACACACGTAGACGCGGTCCCCGGAGCCCCGGAAACTATATTACCCAGCATGGCATGCGGCAAAAGGTGGCCGAGTTAAGCCAATGAAAGCTCAATTCGCGGGCATTTCCGAGGGGACAAGCTGCGTAGAGGCAGGACTTCCGGCGCCCCCCTGGTGGCAGTCATTTCAGTGGATCTGGAGGCGATCTACCGGTTAGTTGTCTCAGAGCGCTGGGTTGGGGCCGAAGTGACTGAACAGAGAAGGCAGAGAGCAGCGGTCTTTCTCTGCACAGTGGCGGGTCCGGGTTGGACAGGTCCCGCCCTGCTCCGGTCGCCCACAGGGTCGATCGATGAGGGCAGCTGTGCCGAGGGGCCCCGCCCAGGTGAGCGCCGCGTTCTCCACCCGTCGAGCCGGGAGCCCAGGGAGGGGCTGTGTTCCAGACCGGGCGCGCGGGGACTAGGGGAGTTGGCACCGGAAGGATGAGTCCGTGCTCAGGTGCGCACAGCTGGCAAGAATCAGCCCAGGGGGCCGGGGATTTAGCTCAGTGGCAGCGTGCCTGCCTCGCAAGCGCAAGGTACTGAGTTTGACCCTGGTACCAAAAAAAAAAAAAAAAAAAAAAGAATCAGCCCTGGGCCCTGAAGCTCAGGGATGATGTCCAGGCATGCCAGGCCGCTCGGCTCGGTTAGGCGGGACGCCAGGTGACCTGAGCCTTCAGGTGCCTGGCTCGGACAGCCTCCGCTTTGTACAGATCACCCATAACTTCAGTACCACCTGTGAATCTTTTCGTGCTGAGTAGAGTGGTGCTAGTGCTCATTCCCCCAGGTAGGCTCTGGATTGGACTCTTCTTTGCCATTTTCTAGCCTTGGGCCCGAGGACCTTGAACACGCATAGCTGAGGATCATATGAAATTGTTGGCAACCACGGAGTTACAAGGATGTGTACTGGCCTGGAGAGGACCCTGAGCTAGTTAAAGGACCTTCTACTTTTTTTCCTTGTTATAGGAATAAGGAGCAGTGGAAGTGTAGAAGTGTAGAAGTCAGGTGTAGAATGTCTCCCTGAGAAGTTGAGTATCCATTCCATGTGACTAGAAAAGGGTGTTAGGACGCGGAAGAAGGAGGTGAACTGACCTGTTTTCGTTGGTCCCTGTGGCTGCAGAGACAGAAGTGGGTCAAGGGAGATGACAGGAAGGAGGAGTGCCCAAACTGCAACCCAAAACCCACTTATTTATCACAAAGTGCCAACACTGAAATTAAACATGAATACTGAGGTTTTGGTTTAGAAAAAACTCACATTAACATCTTCTGTCTTCAAAGAAAAACAAAAATAACATGCATGCCATAGGTTCGCCACCACCGGTCTAGATGGTGACTCTGGGTAGAAGAAGAGGATGGATTCTGGATCAATTTTTTTTAGGTAGAGTTGCCTGAATTTCTTGACTTGAGGATGGTGGAGAGAGTTTGTACTCAGGGATAACTTGAAGGTTTGATTTGGGCTGATGGAAGTTACATTGACTTCCACAGTAAGAAGAATTTCTACAGGAGTGTCAAGGGTTTTACTTTTGGCTTGCTCAGGTTTTGAGAACTTTCAGGGAACAGTTGATGGGCAGCTGGAACCATAAGCTGTGGGCCAACATTTAGTAGAAGGGAAGCAGAGTCATGATTGTTATGGTAGTAGGTACCCAGGAAGGAGAGGGAAGGGCTGGGCTAAATACTGGATCTTATACTTGGGGCCCTGGGTGTTGGAGGTTGGTGTCACAACACAGGTCATGGAGAGACGTGTCCATGAGGTGGGTGAAAGAAAAAATGGTCTGGCACATGCCTAAGGCTTCTCAGGGATGAATGTACTTGACATGGCTGTGGAGGCAAAGGAGTAAATCAAACAAGACAATACTAGGACAATATCAGGCCAGCAGATTAGCTGGGGGGCATAATTGTGGGGCCTGTGTTAGAAAGCCACTGGAGTTGGACCTTGCATGAGAGTTAGTTGGAAAGAAGAAGACTGACTGGTTTGTGTGAAGCTCAGGAGTGAAAGAGCACCATGGGTATTTGAATGATTCTTGGGCAAGGCTGAAGCAAGGAACAGAGTCAAGTAGAACAGAATTGGGAGCTGCTTGGTAGTGGGATTAATGGGAGGCCTGGGGATGTAGTAAATCTTGTTTGATTTTTGCCAAACAGTGGGCACTATCTGCTGAGAATCCAGCGGGTAGATCAAGGAACTGCTCATGGTGGGAGGCTGTGGTTAGAGGGGTACCAGTGGGAGAGATGAGTGAAAGAAAAGGTAGTGTGCATATGGCAAGATAGTATGAGCTGATGGCTTCAGTGGCCTAGCATCGAGGACATAGGGGTGAGGGGCAAGTCCATCTTTGGTTATATATGGGACGATGGATCTGGAGGAATGCAGGACAATTTTCTGGGAAGAGCAGTATGGTCCTACATGCCAGGTCCGGAACTTAGATGGTGCTTATCTGCCCACCTGCCTGTGTTGCTATGTGTGGACACAGAAATCAGTGAGACCATGAGGAGAGACTGGGCCTAAGTCACATCCAGGCCTGGTTTCTCCTATGAGGTGGGAGATGGGGAGTTGGATGAGTGTGCATATGAACCTGGGATCCTCAAAAGGAAGTGGATCGTTGAATGAACTCTTCCCATAATGTTTGGGCTGTATGACTTTTAGTAGAAGTACAGTGGTGTGAGAAAGATGAATGTAAAATGCTGTGCTTGTGAAGATGGAATGTGAACTGATGGCCCCAAGGAAGTTTGTTGTCATAAAGATGAGAGGTGACTGTGTTGCTTGAGTCCTGGAAGGATGATCTGGGAGAGCTTTAAGGGTATTGTCCAACAAGATAAATTTCAGGCCAACCTCTCTCTATGGCTTCTTCTCTTTTTAACCAGCATTTGTAGTAATTATCACAGTGACAACAGGTGGTGGGGCCTACATGAGAGATTTGGTGTTATTTGTTGTCTAGCCTTTGTTTCTGTGGGAGGACACAGCCTTAGTGTTCGTAGTGGGCTTCATCAGTGGCATCTGCTCCGGGTATCTCCTCTGAGATGAGGACATGTGGAATAGGGTGAATGGAGGTGGATTTAGGAGCAAAAACCTGAACTTGGGGTCCTAGGAGAGAAGCTAATTGTGGAATGAACTGTTTCCTTTATGACAGGATACGACCTTTGAGGATGTAGCCATTTACTTCTCCCAGGAGGAATGGGAGCTCCTTGATGAGGCTCAGAGACTCCTGTACTGTGATGTGATGCTGGAGATCTTTGCACTTGTGTTGTCCCTGGGTAAGGCCCCTGCTCCCTCCCAGTATCCTGAGTGGTCCTTGCCCTTCTTTTTTGCTCAGGAGTTACTTCTGGTCTCTGGAGTCCTGTACTCAGCCTGGTGGGTCTCATGGTGATTGCCTTGTCCCTGTCAGATGACTATCCACATTAGTTGTCCCTTGTGCCCAGTTTCAACCTCCTTCATGTAGGGTCATTTCCTTATGGCCACCTTAGTGAGGAATCGCAAGCATTGTCATAATCACTCTTAGATGAGCCATAGCTGTTCTTGTAAGAGCCTCCTTCAAGTGTTTTTGAAATGTTCTCTTACATACTATTGTATACCAGGTTGTTATGAGCCAGTGCTGGTCACTGCCTCTCTTCCTTTAACATGTGCATCATTGGTGTCCCATGCGGTTTCAGCAGGAGTACTATGGGGTTGGGGGAGAATACTGGTGCCCCTCAGGGTGGATATGGTAAGGTCTCAGAGGAGAGAGGCAGCCAGGGAAGTGCATGATCTCATGGTTGTATTCCCATTATTCTAGGATACTGCATTGTGTACAACAATGTCTTCGTTAAAGGAGCACTGGCAATATTAATTTCCACTCCACTTCCCCTTATGTAATACTTCACTCACTTGTCATTTCATCTGTGATTTCTGGTTCTGACTGCTTTTTCCTTTGTGACTCTGCATGTTTCTTAGTCTTTCCTACTGCTTTTTCTGCTGCAGTCTCCAGGTTTCATTTACTATGTTGTGAGGTGTGACACATCCTTAATTAGTCCTTTATCACCAGCCACTTAGTTTCATTTCTATTTTCTGGGATTGAATGCCAACAACCTTTTTTACAACACAAGCATGTCCTTGGTGCACAAGTTTCTGCTAAATGAGTTGCTTCATCTTGTTCTGTATCCTTTGTCTGGTATGATCTCTTAATTTTCAAAGGCCCTGTACTTCACAGTGACTCCTTCCTCAAATTGCTCCCAGCTTCCTTATTCTCAGAACAGTCCCATGATCTCATTGTTTTTGGGTATCACGTGCTTTTATGATAGGCCTTTCAACTTCCAGTGACATCAACATGCATTTTATTAGCATTTCTCTGATTTCAGGTTGCTACTGTGGGACAGATGATGAGAAGATAACTTCTGAGTACAGTGTACAAATGGAAAGAATGTCACAGGTCAGGACTTCTAAGGCAAATCCATCCACCCAGGACACTCAACCCTGTGAAAAATATGTTCCAGCCTTGGAAGACACTTTGTACCAGGCTGAGCACAAAATCACATGCCCTGTTCAGAAATCGTACTTGGGTGGCACAAGTGTTAGAGACTTCTCTTTCGATACAAATCTTCAGCACCAAAAGCATTATGGTAGAGAACAGCCCCAGGGAAGGGATGTGGACAGGGCCTCCTTTGTGGCCAGCTTCAGGTTCCATGTCTTGACCAAGTCTTTCCCCTGTGGAGAGCCTGGCATGGACTTCCTTCAGCAGCAGACCATTTGTAATGATGAGCAGCCACACAGTAGCAGCATCAAGTGCAGGGAAGCATTTTGGACTGGAAACGGACATTGCAAGTGGGATGAATGCAGAAAAGCTTCAACTCTTAAGCACATACTTGTTCAAGAGCAGTGTGTCTGTGCTGGAGAAGGGCTTCGTGAATGTAGCAAATGTGAGAAAGCCTTCACCTGCAAGTTCATATTTTTCCAGCACCAGGATACTCATTTTGGACAAAGAACATCTGAATGTGAGTATGGAAAATCCCTTTGCAACAAGTGCCACCTTATTGGGCCTAAAAGATTTCACACTAGAGCAAGCCCTCATGAATGTAACGAATGTGGAAATGCCTTTATCCACAAGTCTGACAAGAGACAGCACAGTGGAAGAATGCCTTATGAGTGTGGGGAATGTAGCAAATCTTTTACCTACAAATCTAACCTCATTGAACACCAGAGAGTTCACACAGGAGAAAGGCCTTACACATGTAGCAAGTGTGGGAAATCCTTTAGACAGAGCTCCAGCCTCTTTCGACACAAGAGAGTCCACACTGGACAAAAGTCTTATGAATGCTGTTATTGTGGGAATGCCTTTAGCTGCAAATCTGAACTCATTCAACACCAGAGAATTCATAGTGGAGAAAGGCATTATGAGTGCAGTGAATGTGGGAAAACCTTTAGACAGTATTATAACCTCATCAGACACTGGAATGTTCACACTGGCGATAAGCCTTATGAGTGTGGTGAATGTGCAAAATCCTTTAGCCGCAAATTTACCCTCATTCAACACCAGAGTGTTCACACTGGACAAAGGCCTTATGAGTGCAGTGAATGTGGGAAATCCTTTATCCGGAAATCTGACCTCATTCAGCACCAAAGAATTCACACTGGCATAAGACCTCATGAGTGTGATGAATGTGGGAAATCTTTTAGACAACGCTCTGGCCTCATTCAACACCAGAGAGTTCATTCTGGAGAAAAGCCTTATAAGTGCAGTAAATGTGGAAAAACCTTCAGTCAGAGTGCGACCCTCATTCAACACCAGCGAGTTCACACTGGAGAAAAGCCTTATGAGTGCGGTGAATGTGGAAAATCCTTCAGTCAAAGCTCTACCCTCATCCAGCACCAGAGAGGTCACACTGGAGAAAGGCCTTATAAGTGCAGTGAATGTGGGAAACCCTTTACTCACAAATCTGACCTCATTCAGCATCAAAGAGTTCACGCTGGAGAAAGG